CCCTATTCCATCCATAGGGAAGGCCTGTGCCCCAGCAGTGGGGACATTAATCGGCTGATGATGATGATGATCCCTTGGTATCGGCGAGCAATGTCTTCTGACAAAGCGCTTTTTATACTTGTACCACAATTGCCGGGGGTTGGAGAGTCCGCAGGTGCTTATCATAATCGCAAAGAGCTCTCTCAACGTAGTCGCTGACCGGCACAACATTGCGCACTCCATCGTTGCGTCCCAGTGGCCGTCGTCTTCAAGCAGCTTCATCACCTCACATGCTTCTTGAAAAGTGGCCTTTTCCAGCCCATCGACGATTTTGAGCGCTTGAAAACTGGTAGGACCCCGGATTCTAGTAATAGCAACAGCAACCGTACACAATAGCACTCAAAGTGTGTTATGTGTACGGTAAAAAATCTACCGTGGGCATCTAAGGCTTTCACACCAGGCCAACCGTCGACGGGTGCGCCCTGCACGCAACGTTCCATTGTTTTCGTGACGCATTCCACGTGCGAGCAAACTCGTCTTCCTGGCACAGTTGCTCGCTCCATACCTGGAATGATTTGACCAGTTTCCGCGTTGTCGTCTGCCATAAAATACACCTGTAAAATTGTGGCTGTTCATTAGGTGATCATCACCCATTTTGTGATGTAGTTGGCCATGCACTGTTAACGTTGGGGAAAATCCAGGCATTGCAAAAAGGACAATGAAGAAATATTTGTTGTAGTAAATCTATAGCGTCTATAGATGTCATTATCAGAAATGTTAATAAAATAATCTCAAAATATTTATTAAACAATTGAGGAGGGTTGTCTCAGTCTGGAATTAAAAACTCAAAAAAAGGGAAACACAATTGACTATTTATTTTTTATTTTTATTGTGGCTTGGCCATGATGGCTTTTGAGCCATTCATTTTAAGTGATTTTAGTGATGAAATCAACTTTAAACATGTTTTTGTATGTTTTGCATCGCTTTACGCTTGAACTGTATTTAATTATCTATCTGTATTCAATATTATATTGAAACCATATTAAATAATCTCCACAATACAAAAAGAGTATGGCGACAATTCTAACGAAAAAAAACTATAACTGTCACTGTCATGCTTGTCATCGAATTGTTGTTGTTATTGTTATCATTATTTAACATTGTTTGTGCTTAGGTGCATGCATATTGCAAAGATTTCAATCGGCGTATTGTGTTTTTCTGAGATTTGTTTTTTTAAGTGACTTGGACTGTACGTCGTCGTCGTCTATATAAATTATTAATAGAAAAATGCTATTATTCACTTGCAGAGTATTTTGAGGATAAGTAGGCTGAATGGACTTTAATATATGAAATTTTGATTTTGGACATGTATTATATATTTTGATGATTTATTTAATTTGTTTGACATTGTACGATACTGATTACTGGAGGATCCTAAAAGCAAATATTGGTGCATTTACTATTTTACTTTTTGATTATTATTTTATTATGAATCGACACCATTGTATGATTATTATTGATTATTGAAACATTGTGAGAAAACAAATTTTTAACATTGGACATTTATTTTTTTACATTTTAATGGATAATTTTATATTTATTGACATTGTATAATATTGAGTATAAAATGATCTTGACATGATATTGATAAGCTGACAAGCATTACACTTTAATTTTAAGTTGATTTAAAAACTGTTGCATGCTGTTTAACAGTAAAATATGTGAGACATGAAAATGATCAAACACCTTTTATACCATATTTTTATTCAATAAATTATTATTATTATTATTATTGTATTTGGACTTTCGAAATCTTTCTCTACGACTGTTGAGTAGTGCTTGCCTGAGACTTCCGAATCTGATATTTTGCTGTGGATTTTGGACACGATTCTGTCCCATACTGTGGATTTTATTTCATTGTATCTACTATCTACGATATTGTGATCATCGATGTGGAATAAAAAATATATAAAAAGTGTTGCATATTTAATTAATATCCCATTAGTACATTATTAGAAATCCTTTTTTATACTTTATTATTACATTGGGCATTTTCAAATTGTTAAGTACTTCTTACAGCACATACATTGTATTTGAACTCAATAACTCTTGTCTGATAATAAGTATATTGACGCGGTTGGTCAGTACCTACGCCAAAGAAAGAAAGAAAGAAAGCCAACTGATCATACATTGTAAAAAACATTTTTTTTCGTCACTAATCTTCAGGACCGGTGTACTTTTATAGTTCCGTTCCACGTATTTTTTATTTTGATATAAAAAATACTCTTGAAACAAACTTATAATTCGTTTTTGCATTACTTGGTAGGACATAACCTCCAAAACTTCAAAGTAGAATATCTATAAATCGGGACTTCCTATAATATAAGAAATAAGATGAATCAAATCAAGAATGTAAACTCTATAATTTAACATGCAATTCATTTATAGACGCAAGAAAAAATTTTAACAAAAAATTGTATGGGAGTTCGCCATTGTCCTTTGTCCGCCCCGAACGACGACATGTAAAAGCATGGGTTGTACGCAGTTTTAGAACCGTCAAGATTCATCAATTTCACCTGTAAATAATGTATTTAAGGGTACCACAGGCTCTTCTAAAACAGGAATGGCTACTTTGCCCCCAGAGCAACACATCCGCTCCCGCTCTTTCCTCATTCCATTTTAATGCCCCACAATGGTGACACACATTTTCCACACGCCAAATTTTAATGAGCCTGTGGTTATTGTAATCCAATGTCAAGTCATATTCAAAACCACATTTTTCAAATGCTGCCCCCAAGCATTTCTGGTAAATGTTTGCCGGCACTCTGCTTGATGCTGAGCGACTGCGAGTCGTCTAGAATTTGTCTCATCTACTGTCTCGGAAGCACGCGGATTAGACATTAGCTGGGATTGATTTAGCCGTCGAGAAGTTTCTTCATCATGTGTTTCAATTGCACGCTGAGTGGACATACGCTATGCGTTTTCTTGATGCCAAGTAGCTGCTACTTCAGGTGTCTCTAATGCACGCCGATTAGCCATAAGCTGGGCATGCTCTCGCCGTCGAGAAGTTCCTTCATCAGGTGTTTCAATGGCACGCTGAATGGACAACGTTGTGCGTTTTCTTGACGCCGAGTAGCTGCTTCTTCATGTGTCTCTATAGCACGCTGATTAGCCACAAACTGGGCATGCTCTCGCCGTCGAGAAGTGTTTGATTGGATCACTGTGTGGCCATAGGCTGTGCGTTTTCTTGACGCGGAAAAGCTGCCTCATCAGTTGTCTCTGATGCACTCTGAGAAGCTATCCGGATAAGATTTTCCAGACGCCGAGCATCAGCTTGCGCAGAAGTTTCTCCAGTTCTGACTTCTGCCTGACGTGTTGCTTGGTCACGTCTGCGCTGTTCAGTATCATAAGTAGATTCCTGCTGTCTTGCAATTTTCATAGATGAAGCTCTTTGTGAGCTCTGTGAACGATTTGGTTTACAATTGTGAGTCATAATTAGATACACAACAAAATTATAACAATATCGTTGTCCTAGAAATATGTATGAAATATTAATCTATCAAAATAGCTTTGACATGAATGTCAAAAAATATGTACCTACTTGAACAAAATTCATTTGTATCGATTTTCCCATCGAAATAAGATATTTTCCCGCAGTAAAATGTAGCCTATGTGTTAATCCAGGGTATCAGCTAACTCCACACCAAATTTTATTAAAATCGTTCCAGCCGTTTAGACGTGAAGAAGTAACAAACATACACACTCACAAACTTTCGCCTTTATAATATTAGTGTGATTATATCATGGACGGGCTCAATAACAAAGTTCTTATTTAATTTAATATCTTTTTGAGCTTCACAGAATTAGTTACTGCGAAAGAAGGGTCCATTGTTACATACTTCCAAATTACAAAATCTCTTTTTAGCCCATAGGCTCTAAGAAGCTCAAATTTTTTCTAACGTTTAGAGCAAATTTTACAAAACATCGGAAGAAAATTTTTGAGTAGAAAAAATCATAGGTTCCTAAAAAGGAAACAAGTCTACCCAAGAAGGTGATTCTCAGGACTCTACAATACAACCACCAGACAGGCACACAATAACGTCATTTACATTAAACCACTAGGCAATAAACAGTGGTTAAAGGTCAATACAATTCATTTGCTATTGATTTGGTTGGTTTGGATGCTAATGAGTGATTCCACAATCTATTATATTAATAAAGCTATATCAAGTTTGTTTGGTTGTCTAATCTCCGAATTTACTGGTCCGATTTAAAAAATATATATTTTTGTGTTGAATAGTGCCATTATCGAGAAAGGTTATCTTTATATATATAATTCTTCTGTGAGTGTGTATGTCACTGAACTTCTCTTAAACGACTGGACGATTTTGATGAAATTTTTTGTGTGTGTTCAAGGGGATCTGAGAATGGTTTAGATTCACAATTTTGTCCGCTGGACAACCCCTATTTTTTAGGGCGGTACGAAGTTCGCTGGGTCAGCTAGTATACTATATAGCTTAAGGATACACTCAATATTTGTGAGTTTTCGTTGCGTGCGCTGCATAAACGGTCAACGTTACATAAAAATCATGTATGACGGAATTGTTCTCCTTATAAAACTTCTATGAATAAGTACGGGACAACATACATTGTTTATCTTTTAAGGGGAACCCATTATAACCTTTTTCCTCAAATAAATGCGGATAACAGCAAAGCACCTCTAGTCAGTACCTACATAAAAATGTGAAAATAAAAATATATTTAACCAAATTATTCTGGAAATGAAAAGCTAGATAACGCAGCTAGCGCGGACTACCATCGTGAAACTCAACAGACTTTTGCAGTGATCGGTATAAGTATCATGGGCCAAGATTTATTATCTTAAGCGCCTCCGTACTTTGAAAGGCGCATTAAGCCGTTGGTTCTTGCTGCATCTCACTAGCCATGGCTTATTTTTCCTATCTTATTCATAGTGAAGGTTTTCACCGCAGCAAATATGATAATAAAAACAAAATACGTACTTCATCACCTCTGCATGTCTCCTCTGACACTCCTTCAATCTCACCATGGCGACTTCATCTGATACTTGAGCTTTTTCAGTACCAAATATATTTGCACAATCGATCCTCAGTAGTTCTAATTCAGCTCTAAAGAATACCATTATAACCATAGCATTGCTATCGAAAGAAGTAATCCATCCACCGCCAACGATGGACGAATATGCTTGGTAGATAGACGCAAGTATATATCCCCAAATGGTACTTTTATCGAACGGCACCCAAGAACTGACTATTTCAAAGAATGGCTCACATCCGTTCAAAACATTCTGTCTGTAGGACGAAAAGAACACATATTTGAAGATAGGGTAACCAACGACGAAAATTACAGTGGTGTAAACGAGGGACCAATAAGCGTAAGTGATCTTTCGCGAGTATGTGGTGAATTTGTTGATCATTTCAATTTTGTTCACGTCATTGGTTTTCCTTTGGGTTAAGTCAGCCCTGGTGACGTAGTTCAGGATATCCAGCCAATGTTGCTGCCAACGGTAGAATGTGGAAACTTTGACTACGCTCATGGTGGCCAACATGGTGATCTTCATATTGTTCAAGAGCAAATTCAAGTCTGCCTTGACGAACCAAATGTCGACGTATTCGGTGCCGACGAAAATCACAACCAAAAGGTACATAAGGATACACAAGTATCGCGTGTACAAATTTTTTGGAAGTAGTATTCCCCAGAATTTTAGCGCCTTCACATTTGGGCCAATCAATGGTCTGTTTTTGTCTTCTAGTTTTTTAAGTAGATAGAACATTTTTCACCACGACTTGCGATATAATGTAACGCACTAATGAAGTTCCTTACTGCTAATTGAGGAACTCGGATTTAATTGCGATCAAACGGTTAGTGTTGTAAAGAATTAATTGACATCTTGGATTGTTTTATTAAATTCTTGAGTATCTGCTATCGGTGGATGTTTTCAAAATAGCTTTTTCTATAATTGTATAACTCACAGTTATCAGAGAAATGTTTACATTTACGAACTCGATGTTAGATAGATAGAGATAATAAAAGCATAATGTAGGTAACTAATTCTCATGAATAGTTAAAGGATGGCTGGTAATTTTCGAAACTATTTCATACTGGCAGAGATGAGCCAGCATCTTATAAATATGTTATAGCCTACCATTTGATCCATTTAAAAACAGTTCTAACTTTGCGTACAGTGTACTAATAAATGCCTTCCATATGACAGTCAAGAGTGTAACAACCCGTACACTGTATTTTTACAAAATTTACACTAAAATAAGCAAGCATTTAACTCGACTGCCTACAATGTTTTCTGGGTTCCTGATTTTATGTATGTGTGGTTCTTTATTCCCAAATGACTTCTAAGTGTCATAACATATTTAAATGTGAGTGTTTGGTACTGCAAGAATATTTTAGTATCGATCACTTAATCCGTGCTTGGTGCCATTGTCAATAGTATTTTTTTTTTAATTAATAACGATGGCATCGCATTTGTGATACTCCTGGTGTTGCAAGATTCAATGGGGACAGTAATCACTTACCATCAGGTGAGACGTCAGCTCGTATGCCCTCTATAAAATTAAAAAATATATAGAAAAAGGATATCAAATTAAAGGTATTGCTCAGCACATTGAAAAATGTAGTCAATATTATATAATTTATGCAAAGATAGATTGTACATGCAATAAAACGTATTATCTTTGCCTGTTCAAAGATATACCATTACAGAAAACAGGAGACAAACTAATTTTCTGCAGTAGTCACTAGTAACAAAATCGATCAAATTTGCACAAAATTTATCGATATAACAAATACAACGTTATGGTTATCCCATCCCCATCACTAATTATTAACATAATGATGGGCATTATTAACGCAATTATTAGCGGTGTATTGTGTCTATGGTGACTTTAATGTATCTTTATTTCGGCGTGATAATTACCCTGTCATTTTAAGTAATTTGTACGTAATAATGATAGCTTTATTTCTCACCTGAAAATTGTCTCGAAATAATTCTATTTAATTATAATATGCCTTCATAATTTTTACTTTTATACTACGATCGTCAGGAGACAAATATTAAAAGACGTCAGTATGCAGTGAATGCTTCATTGCACTGTCATATAATGTAAAACATTGTTTTTTAAACAATTAGTGGGTCAACTGTGTCAGCAGTTTAGAGTGCATCATACACATTTTTTATTTGTAGTGCCGCTTTAGTGAAACACGCTTTTATTAAAAAAGGAGATCGAATCTTCGAGCGGTCAAAAATATAAGATAACGGCGAAGTCATTTTACTGAAAAATGCAAAACCCCTAGGATGTTAGCGAAAATTCCATTGATCAAATCGGTCTAGTACCCGTTGGACCCTCAAGATTCGACCCAAAAGCAAAAAGTGCCCATTGAACCTTTTTTTTGGTGTCCATTGGACCTTCTTAAAAAGTTTAATATTCAATGTGACCATTGGACCTCCTTTTTGGTGCCCATTGGACCTTCAAGATATATACCCTACCAAATCAACCTCTGACATTACATTATTTTAAACTTTCATATTCACTAACATTATAGCTATTAACGGGATTGTTACCATGTAGACATCGGAGACTCATAAAAATCAAGGTACTAGTAAAAATCCCGTTAACAGCTTTAAAACCTACGTCATATACAAAACAAGAAGAGCAGATACGTTACTCTCATACTAGCATCAAATAGAATATGATCCAACTCAACTATATAGGCAACTCTCACACACGCACACTTCTGTATATAAACATTCAATCAAGCGAGCGAGACAGAATTGTACGTTTCAAAGCAGCGCGAGACAGAATTGTACGTTTCAAAGCAGCGCGAGACAGAATTGTACGTTTCAAAGCAGCGCGAGCGAAACGGCGCGAGTCTACGTCGCTTTGCAGTCGACTGCGTTTTCTTTTCTCTCTCTACAGACGGTTGAGTTGTATTGTTGTCCTTTTCTTCATAAAAAATGCCGAATCGTAACGAACATGGCTAAGCGTGATTTTTGAGAAAAAAAATGTTTTCATAGTTTTAAGAATGAAAAATGTTGTCGTGGCATTTGTTATTTGATCTTGAACTATTTCATCATCAACCCATGTTCGTCCACTGCTGAACATAGGTCTCCCCTAATGCACACCACTGCTCCCGATTTTGTGCTACTCTCATCCAGCCCACTCCAGTCATCATCCCATCTTGTCTCAGGGCGTCCAACACTACGTTTACCGAGTCGTGGTCTCCACTCAAGAACTTTCCGGCTCCAACGGCCATCAGTTCTGCGGCTAATGTGACCAGCCCACTGCCACTTCAGTTTGCTAATTCGGTGGGCTATGTCGGTGACTTTGGTTCACTGTCCGATTACATCATTTCTGATTCGTTCCTTCAGGGATACTCCGAGCATAGCCCTTTCCATGGTTCTTGAACTATTTGTGTTCTTTAAAAAGCATCGAAGGCAATGTTTTACCTTTAAAACACAGAATATATGCAATATTGTTATATTGAGTACACGTGCTGCTCTTATATTGAGTGCACAAGTTGAGGAGCTCGATGGCGCAAGTGGTTAGCGCGTTCGGCTGCGATCGTTGAACTTAAGCAACTTTCGCAGTGGTCAGTCATTGGATGGGTGACCAAAAATTACTATCTCGAGCTCCTCCGTGCTTCGGAAGGCACGTTAAGCCGTTGGTTCCGGCTGCATCTGCAGTCGTTAGCACCCACCAATCCGCACTGGGCTCGCGTAGTGGGTCATGGCCCAATCTCCTTATTCCATCCATAGGGAAGGCCTGAGTCCCAGCAGTGGGGACCTTAATAGGCTGACGATGATGAGCGCACGTGCATCGTATTTGGATGTCAAATTGTGACTAAAGCCAATTGTGGTCATGCACCACAATTGAAGCAGATTATTTTTAAGCCACGAGTGCCTTATTATCTTCCCTTTTTGTTTTAATCCAAGGGATAGGCAAGTTAATTCACAATAAAAGATATAAAACAATGATAGTAATTAGCCACATAGATAACAAAGAGAACCGCATCGCTTCGACATTCATTACTTACATCCGAGTTTTCTTTTCCTCGGACAAAAAATATTTTCTTGTGGCAAAATAGTTCATTTTCTAAAGGACCAAGACTCTCCAGTTGTGAGGCTGCTTTGAAGAAATTAGCTGTGTTGTCCATTGAAAGTCGAGATATAAAGGTGGAGTCATGGTGCGAGCGATTCCAGAAATATAAAAAAGCGATATTATTAATAGTTTTTTATATTTATTTTAAGCATTTAACTGTTAGATTTATAACTAAAGAAAAACTTTGTACGGGTTTAGGCGCACACATAGTAGGAAAACACGTCAGCAATTTGATCCGCTGTACGCTTTATTACTTTACTAGCTGTGCCCCGCGGTGTTACACGTTAATCCAGGTTGTGAGCTAACTTCATACCAAATTTTATTAAAATCGCTTCAGCCGTTTAGACGTGAAGAAGTAACAAACAGACACACTCACACACCCACGCCCACAAACTTTCGCCTGTATAATATTAGTGTGATAACTTAGGTATTAATAAACTATTGAATCTATAATGCGTGTCTATCCGGTAGCCTTACCAACCGGGCGTACTCACTCTAACATTTACACTATACGTAAACCATTCTTTCACCATACTTTAACCTTAATTTTCCTGTGTATTTTATAGACTTTGTTGTAGTAGTGTGAATTATCTTAATAAACGCTCAGAAATTCTTTCCAGTGACTTTCTATTTATTCAATCTCTTCTGTAAGGGCTATATTTCACCGGGACACCATGGCGGCGCAACCAGTCGCGCCACCGTGGTGTCCGTAAGCTACCAAACTAGACACCATACAGACACCAGTCGCCACGGCACACTGAGACAGTAGGAAAATAGATTAATATAATGAACTAGGTACAATTGCTGTTTCTTCCTTCAAATCCTTACTAATATTATAAAGGCGAAAGTTTGTTTGGATGGATGTATGGATGGATGTTTGTTCCTCTTTCACGCAAAAACTACTAAACGGATTTTAATGAAACTTTACAGTAATGTAGCTTATAGATCAGAATAACACATAGGCTATAATTTATAAAGATATTGTGTGAATTGTCCAAAATATAACGATAAATGTCATTTAAGTCTGAAAAAATTCTGCAATCTGCGAGCTATTCAGGCGTGTAAGGATAAAATTGTCTAAAAAATATCCCGCAACAGCATATGTCTATCTTTTATGGTTGACTCACAATAACACGTGTAATTATATAAATAAAGTCATTCTTTATAGCACAAGCCTGAGAACAAAAAGTATAGTTTACACTACAGCTCTACACCGAAGCGAAGCGAGGGCGGGCCACTAGTATTTAATATTTGTAAAAGTATTACGTTTGACATTGTGGATTACTACAATGCGAAGAAATGGCGCTGCCTTGCAGCCTTAGAATCTAGAAGAAATTCGACACGCCCATTTAGGTCGCGGTAGCAGAACTGATTAGTGCGTCTGCCCGGATGGCATAGCGGAGTCTGCTGCCTGAACCGCGTGATTTTTTTCTAGTAAAGTTTGTAACCATCCGGGTGGAGTGTGGTTTAGTGAAACATAATATGCGTTTATATTATACTTAATTACAAACACGGTAACACACGAGCGCGGGAGAATCAAGGCACCGCGCGTGGCTTTACGTTATCGAGTCCCGGCCAATGACTGACTTGCATCGCGCCTGCGTTGGCGCATGTGGCGCTACCCGAAATGTCCCGCCGCGCGTCCCTGCAACGGTCAATA